GGGTGGTTGCTCGTACGATGGGTACGATTACGACACTGATGATGACGATTGTGATGTGATGTGATGCTGATGGCGACGATGGTACTGATATGGTGATGATGCTGCTGATGGCGATGATGATGGTGATAATCCTGATGACGTTTGTGATGTTATGAGGCTGTGCCGCAATGTTTGTGTAGGATCACGATCGATACGATTGCGATGCTGATACTGATGATAACGATACTGATGACTATCATACGGTACTTGGTAGTACTGTCAGCAACGGCAATGATGACGATTGTGATAGATGATCGCGGTGATGATGGCGACAATGATGAACATGAGGCGGGCGACGGGGATGGTGGTGATGATGTGGGTTACGATGAAGGCGATTGACGTCACATGTGACACATTTTCGCATTCACCTCTCGAAAGGCCACATGGAACTCATGCGGGCCGTATCGGTGGTCTCCGAAAGGTTCCTTGGGTTCCCCTGGCGCCGTCATAGGCTCTCCTGGGCCGGCATGGGGCTCTCTTGGGGCCTTCGGGGTCGTCTGAGGAGTCTCTTGGGGCCGTCGTTGTGCCTCTTGATCCGCCCATGGAGTTTCCTTAGACCGACGTGGGGCTAGCTTACGGTCCTCTTGGGTCCGCCACGCGCTTTCCAGGGGCTTTTTTGTACTATGTCGTAAGTTGGGTTGCAAGCCTTTTCGGGTTATATCTTGAAGCCCTCCTGGCCCGTCGCGGTGACTTTTGGAGGCCTCTTGGGCAATCTTGCGCCGCAGAACGCCAGTGGGCACGAAAGCGAGCGTGCAGGCGTGTTTTGTTGAACCAATCGATGTTGTGGCAGTCTTAGGGCCCGTGCGACCCCCAAGACTGCCCTCAGAAGCTCAAGAGCCCCGAGACGATCCAACATATGACGAAACTGTCCATGATCCATGCGTTCATAGGCTCAGGCGAAAATTAAGCAGGCATGCCGCGAGGGCTGGCGGAAAATATTCTGTGAATCTCAAAGCCAACGAAAATTATGTTGGGGCCCAGAAGCCCGACCGGTGAAAATTAAACCGCCCACGTTTAATAAAGGAATTCGAGCATCCTGGAGGACACGAGGAGTTCATGAGGACTAGGGCTCCCCTCGTGCTCTCGATCTTCGTCCCCGCAAGACTCCTGCGCCTCAAAAGCCGCAAGCAGTTTGCCGCGCGCCCCGCCAATCATCGACTCGTTGCCCCCAGGCCTGGCACAAGTCAGAGCGGCCGCCGCTCTCTCGAGGGGCGGGCAAGATTTCAGACCGTATCCCCGCCGCAGCCAGCCCGAGTCTTGGGCCGACACGGACCATGCCCTGGCCGCTGCGGAGCGAATTAGGGAGGTAAACCTGAGTACGTGCTTCTGGCCGGTGCAAGATATCGTGGCGACCACGCCGTGCCGATGTCCGCGCATCGCTGAAGCACGGACCCGCCACATACCAACCCGCCGATCCCACGCCTGGTCTTGGCACCTCCAGATCTCCATGGCCATATGATTGGGCGCCCGGGTTATCCGGGGTAACTCGGGCCCGGGGCAACTCGGGTTCGGATTCCCGAAAACGAACCCGAGTTAGCCCTGACCCGAATTATCCTTGATGATTTGGGGCTCTGGATGCCCGCGTTATCCGGGGAAACTCGGGCCCGGGGCAACTCGGGTTCGGATTCCCGAAAAACGAACCCGAGTTAGCCCTGACCCGAGTTACCCCTGATGATTCGTGTCTCTGACACTGTGCGTCGTCATCGGATGGCGGCCAATTGAAACAACGGCAGCTCTTCCGCCTAGGCCCAGACCCGCTCCAACTCCGGCACCAAACCCCTCCTGGGGTGTCCCCTTTCGAGGCGGATCCCACCGCGGCGACGCGAAGCCTCCGGGAGGCCCAGGCAAGACGCAGAACGCCGGGCAGGGCCGTCGCTGTCTCGACTGGCCCCCCTCCTCCTCATCCTCCTCCTCCTCCTCCTCCTCCTCCTCCTCCTCCTCCCCCTCCCCCCCCTCCTCCTCCTCCTCCTCCTCCTCCTCCTCCTCCTCCTCCTCCTCCTCCTCCTCCTCCTCTGACTCCCCCCCCAAACACTCTTTGCGCTACCCCTCGACCTACATCTTCCGAGCCTTCCGCGCAGCAGGTGCCGCTGCGGCGCGGCCGCGGAGACCACCGAGACCGCCTCTGCGGCCTCAACGGTGGCCGCCGCTGCGGCGCTGGCGGCGGCCGCTGCACGGCGTCTGCGTCCAGCAGGCGCGGAGGGTGGAGGTCGAGGGCGACTGGCAACGCTCTTCCTGGCCCCCATGCCCTTGAGAGACGCCGGCTGGTGTGGGAGGCGTGGGAGAGGTGAGGAGGAAGAGGAGGAGGAGGAGGAGGAGGAGGAGGAGGAGGGGGAGGAGAGGATAGGAGGAGGTGAGGAGGAGGAGAGGAGGAGGAGAGAGAGAGAAGGAGGAGGAGGAGGAGAGGAGGAGGAGGGGGAGAAGAAGAGGAGAGGAGGAGGAGGAGGAGGAAGAGTAGGAGGAGAGGAGGAGGAGGAGATGAGAGGAGGGGGGTTGGGCCAGAGGGCACGCGCGCGGTCGGCGGGGACGCCACGCGCAGGTGCGCGCAGGCGCGCGCGCGCAGAGCTGGGCCCCCCCCGGCGGCAGCCACAGGCTCACGGTCGTCGCGCTGACACTCGCCAGCGCTCGGACGTCCATTCCCCGTGCGATCTTCAGTGTCGTGCGTGCTATTTTCTCGCACAGATCGGAAAGGAAGAAGCGCCATAAACAGAAACATGTGGCGCTCCGCGCTGGATTCCTTGGATCTGCGCCGGGCCTCCTGGAGCGCGCCGGGGGGGCCCAGCGCGGATCCAAGAAATCCAGCGCGGGGCGCCAAGAGCTAATGCTCATGGCGTTTTGTTTCTTGTCTGCTTCGGAGGAGGACCCAGCATGGCTGAACCTAAACGCTCACGAAATCGCCCAGGTCCAGGAGGAGGAGGAGGAGGAGAGGAGGAGAAGGATAAGGGAGGAGGAGGAGAGGAAGAGGATGAGAGGAGGAGGAGAGGGAGGAGGGAGAGGGAGGAGGAAGACCTGCGCCGCGCCGAGATGACCGCCTTCTCCTCCTCCTCCTCCCCTAATCCCTTCTCCTCCTCCTCCTCCTCCTCCTCCTCCTCCTCCTCCCCCCTACCTCCTCCCTCCTCCTCCTCCCCTCTCCTCCTCCCCCTCCCCCTCCTCCCCCTCCCCCCCTCCTCCCCTCCTCCTCTCCTCTCCCTCCCCCTCCTCCCCTCCTCCTCTCCACCTCCTCCTCCTCCCTCCTCCTCCTCCTCCTCTCCTCCTCCTCCTCCTCCTCCTCCTATCCTCCTCCTCCGATCCTCCTCCTCCTCCTCCGCCTCCTCCTCCTCCTCCTCCTCCTACCTCCTATCCTCCTCCTCCTCCTCCGCCTCCCCCTCCCCCTCCTCGCCTCCTCCTCCTCCTCCTCCTCCTCCCTTTTCCTCCTCCTCCTCCTCCCTCCTCCTCCTCCTCCTCCTCCTCCCCTCCTCCCTCCTCCTCCCTCCTCCTCCCCTCCTCCTCCTCCGCCTATCCTCCTCTCATATCCTCTCATATCCTACCCTTTCCTCCTCCTCCTCCTCCTCCTCCACCTCCTCCTCCTCTCCTCCTCTCCTCCTCCTCCTCCTCATCCTCTCTTCCACTTCCTCTTCCTCCTCCTCCTCCTCCTCCTCCTCCTCCTCCTGCTCTTCCTCCTCCTCCCCCCCCCTCCTCCCCCTCCCCCTCTGGGCCCAGTGAGTTCCAGAAGGGCCCCAACAATCACACGAGCATAGTGTACGCGTCCTTCCTTTTTCTGGTCGTGCTCATCCCTGAGTGTGCTCGTTTCTCCCATTGTTCCTGGCTCCCTGGTGGCCAGGAAGAGGCCAGAGACATAACAAATAGAAAGGAGAGGATCCTGGCTCCCCGACAAATCAAAGAACTCTCGAATACTTAGAAATTATTAGCACTGTGTACACAAATCCCAGGGTTCCCAACCTTTTCCCCAACATGTTCTGGGTGTTCGGTTCCCCCGTTCCCCCACTTTCCGTACCTCGTCATCTTTTCCTGGATGTCGACGATTCATTGTGTCCGTGTGTCACTTTCCTTCCTGAAGCTTCATCTTTCAACCCCCTTTGTTCCCTTCGGGACGGGGTTAGAGCGTCCAAAACGGCCTCGGAGAGAAAGCCCAGCTCACTGATGTTACCAACATTTGGTCACATGGTGGCCTCCCAAGGAAGGGGGGGCGATTTAACTGCGACCCATCTCTGATCTGGCCCCACGATCGCCCTCTGGGCTCCCAAGCGTGCCCCAAGACGGCTCCAAGAGGTGCCAACGAGGCCTCAAGAGGCCCACAAGAGGCACCCCAATGCCTCCAAGAGGCTCCCAAGAGACCCCCAAGAGGACCCGAGAGGCCCAGGCCCCCCAGAGGCACCCAAGACTCCCCAACCAACTTTCTGGTCACATGTTGGCCTCTTGGGGGGGGGGGCCCTAATGTACTACGGCCCCTCGTTTGATCGATCTCCTCCAAGATAGCCCCAAGATGGCCCAGGAGGCTCCTAAGGGTGCCGAAAGACGCCCCCAGAGGTGCCCAGGAGGCCTCAAGTGGTGACCAAGATGCCCCCAGGGTGCCCCCAGCAGGCTCCCCAAAGACCCCCCAGAGGCCCCCCAGAGGCCCCCCAGAGGCACCCAAGACGCCCCAAGAGGCCTTCGGGACTACCAAGAAACCCCCAAAGACACTCCAAGCGGATTCCAACAAGCTATCGAAAGAAATCCGAAGAGACTCCGAGTGGCGTTGCCCTGGGACCTCCTCCTCGTCCTCCTCTTCCTCGTTCGCCAATTCGTCCGTCTTCCTCCTCCTCCCCCCCTCCCCCTCTCCATACTCTTCCTCCTCCCCCTGCTCCTCCTCCTCCTCCTCCTCCTCCTCCCGTGTTCCCCTTCTTGGGGCAGGACGTCTTGCCCAACACTTCATTCCACTGCATACTCCTCCGCACTCCCTGAACAGGGCAACGCGTCTGGGCATCGTTTCTGGATGGGCTGGTGTGATTGCACGAAGCGTCTAGAAAAGGTTCCCCGACACAGGTCTTGGGAGCGGCCCGAAAACCAGTCCCTCTTGTCAGCATCTTGGCTGCACGGCTGGTTCGTGCGGTGACCGACTTCTGCGCTGGTCTCTGACACCGCGTGCATGGTTCAACCCTGAACGATGAGCAGCTTCTCGATCACCAGATGAGTCCACGTTGGCCAATTCGTGACAATCGAAAGCACACAGCATGCCCGCGCTGGGGTCGCGTGGACTCGACACGAACCTACCGCCATCCTGGGGCTGAAAGTCGGCCCTCGTGCCCATGCCACCGGTATGGAGCGTGAGCAAAATCGCGCGGCAGGACTCGGCGGGCGCGTGCTTACGTGTAGCCAGGCTACAGAAGGACGCACGATAAGGCTGAAAGGGCCTTGGAAGGCCATGTCGACACGTGGCGAGCGGACGCGGCCAGCAAAAGCGGCCAAGGATGGGCCGAAGGGGAAGGATGCAAAGTTGATCTTGGAAAATCGCTCATCCTTACCATGCGGGCTGACTGTACGGACCAAGTGCATGGCCACCTCAGAAACACATAAAAACCACTTCTTCGGGCCGATGTGGGTCGAACCGCGGAATCGGATCGAACCGAAAACGGATTGGATCCCCAGCGAATCGTCCCGCATCGAGATGACATCGGGTCACAACGCCTGGCGATGGCTGGCCCGGACCGACCCAGCCATCCGGCTGCTCTCATTTTCTATTCGTGGGCCCCGGAGGTCTGTCGGCGGCGACGATAGGGGCGAATAGCTCAGGGGCGGGCATTACACGCATTCGCCCGGGAGCCTTTTCGCAGACATAGATCATCGACGCACCGGAATACATGTCTTGCTCTGCCCTGGGCTATTCGCCCCGATCGTCGCCTCTGAGTCTGGACCACTTCCCTGGGAGCCGCTTTCCGTCCCGAGTCCTTCTTTGACGGCCCCCAGGGCCCGGCGCGGGTCCCCTGAGGCCGACACGCCCCAAATCCTCGATGACTCCTGCTCTTTTTTTGTTGGAGCGGCGGATCTCTGGGGATGCGCCGGTGGATCGTGCCGAGAGTCGAGCAGAAGCCGAAGCCACTTCCCTATAGGGACCTGCTTTCCGTCCCGCGAGTCCTTCTTGGACGGCCTCCCGGGGCCCGGCGCGGGCCCCCGGAGGCCGAGAGAATGGCCCCAATCCTCCTGTTAATCGGGCTTGCCCCTCTACAGGAGGGATACTCAAAAAAAGTCTAAAATGATCTGGGGGCGATTGTTTGACTCTTTTTGCACATTTTTTGGACTATATTTTGGGTGTTTGTGATTTTTCGTCCAAAATCGGCCTGTAGGGGGACGTGTCAGACCTAATCCTCCTGCTCCTTCTTGGGAGCGGCGGAGCTCTGGGGACGTGTGCCGGTGCCTCGTGCCGAGAAGCAAGCCCAAACGTCCGACGCACTGATTTTCTCAGGACGGCGTCCCCGGAAGTCCATATAGGAGAACAACAAGTGGCATAAACATTAAAACTCTGAGGTCCGCGCGGATTTCTCAGATCGGCGCTGGCGCGCGGAGCGCGCCAGAGGCGGCGCCGAAGGCGCCGCCGGGGGTCCCCAGCGCGGATCCGAGAAATCCGCGCGGACCTTCAAGTTTTTATGTTTATGCCACTTTTTGCTCCCCTACCATAGACCCCTTCCCTAGGGCCGGCTTTGCATCCGGAGTCGTTTTTTGGCGCTCCTGGGGACCGGCCAGGGCCCCCAGGAGCCGAAAATTCTGAGCACCTGCCGTCCTGATGTTTTTAACGACGCGATTACGCCGGAGTGGGCCTTGGATTAAGCCGGCTTCAGCGGGATCAAGCGGGATTAAGCCGGATTGGGCGGGATTGAGCGGGATGAAGCCGGATTCAGCCAGACTTCGGACCAGTGCAAAATCAGAATTTGACCTCCCAGGAATTGCAGCCGGATGTTTTGGAGCGGCGGATCTCTGGGGATCTGCCTCTCTGGGGATCTGCCGGTGCCTCGTGCCGAGAAGCGGGCCGAAGCCAGGGCCCGGGCCCCGCCCCGCGAGGCGAGGCGCTGCGAGGCGCAGCGTCCGCTCGGGCGGCGCGGCGTCCTGCCATGCGCGAGGTCGGTGCCCCTCTGTTGAACAGGGACCGACCGTCCCGGCATTCCTATACTGCGCGCGGCGGGGGTACTTATAAGTACTTATGCTAGTTATAAGTAACTTATGAACTTACGGCCTACTTATAAGTAACTTATAAGTAACTTATAAGTAGCCCGTAAGTAGCCCGTAAGTAGCCCGTAAGTAGCCCGTAAGTAGTCCGTAAGTAGCCGCGTAAGTAGCCCGTAAGTAGCCCGTAAGTAGCCCGTGGGTTCTAAATTTCAATGGTTTTGGTTCCAAACTGTTTGCGATGTTGCTAACATGCTTTCTGTGAGTTCCATGTTCGGAGGTCGATTTTTTCAGCATGCAATCTGGATTCGTATATTTCCATGTTCGGAACAAGATTTTCGCAGGTTGTAATTACATTCGTGCGCATGATGTTAACCTGATTAAATTTCTGTTTCTGTTGTTCGCGCCTATAATTTCAATGCTAACTTAAACGAAATTCTTGACACTTCGCGTATCCCCACCAGCCCATCCATAGTGAAACAGCGCGGGCACTACTGTTGAATTGGGGAGATCTCTGGTA